AAAAAAAAAAGTCACGGCAGGACGGGCAGCGCACGCCCAGCCATCAAAATCAAGTTCTCTAGTACAGGAAATATTCAGAAAAAAAAATTATTTTCTGAAAAAAAAAAGTTTTGGGGGTTAATATGATATATTTGTTAAAATCCGGGGTCAATGTGTAATATTAAAGAAGTTAGAGCATAATGGGTGGAACTGATACGAATTAGGGTTAAAATTGGGGTCAAAATTGAAATTTGGGTTAAAATTGGTTAATTGATGAAATTGGGCTAAATTGGGGTGTAAATCATGAAATTGGAGTTGAATTGGGTTTCAATGAATTGGGGGTAATTTTGGTATATATAAAGGGATTTTCCTTATTTGCAAATAAGTTTGAATGGGGTGGATTTATTTGAAAGACAAAAAAATTGGATGTCCCTATTTTAATTAAGTGCCCTTGTCATGGGCCTATTTGCCATTACCCCTTTTGTTTATACTAAGTGTAGAAACACTAATTGTGAATATATGTTTAATACATTAAACGTGTATCATAACAATTAATTAATTATGATGAATTCGTGATTCATAAAATAGTACAATATAACTTTTGATCGTGCACATAAAGAAAACAAAAAATAAGAATGAGACATAATTATCATAAAAGATAGAAGACAAATATACAAAATTTATTCGATATCACGCAGATGTCTAATAATATATACTTTAAGTTTTATTAATGGGATTTTTATGCAAAAGTCCCCAACCAAGCATGTATATTATTCTAGGTATAGGGGACATATCTCTTTCACCAATAAGCCCATCCCTTTAATATTTATTATAACTAAAGGAAACATTCATGTATATCCCAATATTACCCTCAATCATTTATACCCAATTCTTAATTGTAATCCAAATTAATCAATTTTGTCCATAAAAGTTCAATTTTGACCACAAAAATTCAATTTTGACTTTTTTTTGGAGTATAATTTAATATGCTCCAATTTCATCCTTAACTTAATTTAATCTCAATTTGACCCCAAATTTCACAAATTATTAAATTTTGACCCAAAATTTTTTTTTTTTTCAAAAACTTTTTTTTGCCGCCGGATTCCGGCGTTGACCGGCGGTCAACGCCGGTCTCCGGCGTTGACTTTTTAAACTTTTTTTTTTTTTTTTTCCTTCCGGATTTTTTTTCCGGATTACGGCGTTGACCGGCGGTGACTTTTTTTTTTTTTTTTTTTGCTTTTTTCTTTTTTTTTTTCTTTTCTTTTCTTCCGGATTTTTTCGCCGGTTTCCGGCGGTCTCTTTCTTTAGTGTTTTTTTAAGTTTTTTTTTTTTTTGTTTGGTTTGTTTTGTTTTTCCATGCCCGCCGCTACACGTTGACCGTAATTGTGCTGTCACTGACAGTAATTTAGCGTAATTATACTGTCAATGATAGTTAATTAACGTAATTGTACTGCCGTTGACATTACATTTATGTAATTGTGCTGCCGTTGACAGTAAATTAATGCAATATTATATTTTTTTATTTATTAATTTTTTTTTTTTATTTTTTTTGATTTGTTGACAAGTCAACGTAATTATATTATTGTCGTTGATAGTAAAATAACTGTAAACACAATAATATTACTGTCAACAACATCAATATTATTATTTTTTTGGGGTGTTTGTTTTGTTTGAGTTATTCACGGAGTAACGTATTAATATTACTGTCTATTATTGTAATATTACTGTAAACACAATAATATTACTGTGGTTGACGGTAATATTACTGTTGTTATAGTAATATTCCTGTCAACCACATCAATATTATTATTTTGTTTGGATTTTTTGTTTGTTCGAGTTATTCACGGAGTAACGTAATAATATTACTGTCTACTATTGTAATATTACTGTTGCTATAGTAATATTACTGTCACTCACAGTAATATTAATTCTTTTGGTTTTTTTTATTTTGTTTACATTTGTTGAACGGACAACATAGTAATATTACTTTATTATACAATAATAATGAATTTTGTTGTGTTAATATTAATGTGCTAGAGATTAATATAGCAATATCAATGTGTTAAACTATAGTTTAGTTAATTTTACTGTGTTTAACAGTAATATAGTTAATATTACTGTCATTCACAGCAATATTGCTGTTTAAACGGAAAAAAAAAAAAAAAAAAGAAAAAAAAAAAAAAAAATTAAAAAGTCAACGCCGGAGACCGGCGTTGACCGCCGGTCACCGCCGGAATCCGGAAAAAAAATCCGGAAGGAAAAAAAAAAAAAAATTAAAAAGTCAACGCCGGAGACCGGCGTTGACCACCGGTCAACGCCGGAATCCGGAAAAAAAATCCGGAAGGAAAAAAAAAATTAAAAAAAATAAAAAAAAATAAAAGTCAACGCCGGAAACCGGCGTTGACCGCCGGTCAACGCCGGAATCCGGCGGGAAAAAAAAGTTTTTGAAAAAAAAAATTTTGTGAAAAAAAAAAAGTTTTGGGTCAAAATTGAATAATTTGTGAAAGTTGGGGTCAAATTGAAGTTAAAGTAAGTTAAGGATGAAATTGGAGCATATTAAAGTAAGAGGGGTTATTTTAGTCATTTACATAAATCTGGACCATGTGTGGACTTATTGGTAAAGGAGAATATTGTCTGGATCTCTTTATGAATAAGTTCCCACTGATGGGCTTATTTGTAATATGCCCTTTATTAATTGCACGTATATACATTAATATATGTATTCGATCAAGAATAGAAGAGTTTGATTTTAAAATATCTACAAATATATGTGTACTCGACAAACAATATATATATATATATATATATATATATATATATATATATATATATATATATATATATATATATATATATATATATATATATATATATATATATATATATATATATATATATATATGGATGTACTTGTAGATATATATTTATATTTGGAAATAAAAATAAAATTTAGTTTATAATATTTAAATTTGAAGTTGTATAATATGAATAAATAAAGATAAATTTATCTATTTATATTATTATATTATATTAATTAATTTTATGAAGATAAATAAGTGATTTTCACATAAAATAAACAAATTAAACACTTTGCGATTAGAATGCATATTATCAATCCTTGGAAAAAAGAAAATAATAAAATTACATGTATCATATAATTAGATTCATAAAAAATAAAACATAAAAAACATGAAAGAAAGCAGAAAATTTATTCAAATAGATTCAATAAACGATAGAGGAATCCCTATTACAAATAAATAAATACACGATTACCGTTTTTGCTATTAAATGCTCAACTTCATCAACATCAAATGGTTTTTTATCGAAAACAATTTAACAATCATCGAAAAATATCCCCTTGCATCCACTGAATATTCATCAATACACTAAACGTGAATCATGTCGTTGCATGCTATACAACATCTCAGGACCTCTCTCTTGTCAATGTAGCCGCATATGACACAAGTGATGCTATCTATGGATCTAAAAAAGCAAAAACCGACACAAGTGATGCTATCTATGGATCTAAAAAAGAAAAAAACCTGAGCTAGATTATTGTATTTACGCATACATTTTAACGGATACCGAAGAAAATAATACACTATAACATAGTTTAAACTAACGCGTGCAAAAAATAAATACAAAATAATACAATGCAAAATAGAAAGATAGAAAAAAATTTAGGGTGAAAACCGTTGTTTGGTGTGATTATAAGAAAATGTGTAGATGAATTATGAGATGAATGAGTTATGACTTATGGTTGAGATTATTTAGACTTAATTTCAAACACTAAATAAGTTAATAACATATGTTAAGGAAATCATTATTAATTGTAATAATTAACTAAATCAAATCACGAAATAATGGTATAAAATCGGCGGAAAATCTTCATATCAAATCCGGAAGATCATAAGCATTTTAATGTTTTCTATATTTATTTGAATTTGGACTGAATTCTCATTAATAATAATTGTAGAAGATTGTAGTCAAACATGGTAATATCATTTTTTTGCCTTTTATTTGTAATAGTAATAAATCGTATTCACAAATTGATTATATACATAAAATCAAATATTAAAATAGGAAAGAACTTAAATACATACCAAATTAAAAATGACAACTAATCAATTGATGAATCCACCTCATCAATTTAATGACAACTAAGCAATTTTGACAAATGACATAGACATTTGCCACATGTTATTCATATAGGGCATAGATCCTCTTTTTATATTATATATAGATATATAGATTGAAACTCCAATTTTGTCGTTATAAACTTTACTTTGTATTAATTTTACTTCAATCCCGTGCATCGCACGGGCCAAAAATTTAGTATTTACTTAAAATAGAGTTAATAGTTTGATTTATACACAAAATCTTTTATATGAGGACCTATAGCAAATTGCCTCTATATTATATTTAGTTAGATATAACATGTTGGTGTGGAATACGTCTCGAACGTAGTATGTTAATTATTTATTTTGGACAATTGGTAAGGTGAAAGTTGGCATGATCTCGATTTGTTTTTCGTGTACATATATCTTATGTTCGAATATCTTAAATTATATTAGTTTTGTATTATTATTTTTTGTTAAATCGTGTTTTGTTGAATAACATTTTAATTGTGAAATTAAGTCGGTGCATCTCACGGTTGAGATACTAGTTTTGTTTACATAAAAATAAAAAAAATAAAAATAAAATAAATAAAAATGAATACATGCACCTACCATTTTGTCTCTCCAATATTGCCACCTAGTTCTCAACGTCCACCCTCCTCCCTCACATGGACTCCAACAACCCACCAAAAGCCATATTTTGATAAACAATAATTAAAAACAAGCTTTTCACTCTGCTCTCTTCGCCCCCATCCCATCCCATCGGCGGACTTTCCGATAAAACCCCCTCAAAACCCTCTTCTTCTTCTTCTTCTTCTTCTTCTTATTCAGTTGTTTGTTATTTATTCTCAATTGTTATTACATTCCTAATTAACCTACACAAACATTTGCTCCCCTTTTTTCACACACCAAAATACGCAATGGCTTTGTCTCAGTCGCTATCGAAACCCATTTTCTCCACCAAACCCTCTTCTCAAACACCACTTTTTTCACTTCCCGCGACGCAGAGGATCAAAACTCGGCCATTCACGATCCGCAACTCGGCGTCGGTTGCGGCGGCAATCGTGGCCTCAAAGGCGGCGGCGTCGGCGAAGGTGAAGAACATAAAAGCCCGGCAGATCGTGGACAGCAGAGGAAATCCGACGGTGGAGGTTGATTTGATAACGGAGGATGACTCGCTTTACCGATCGGCCGTACCAAGTGGAGCATCAACAGGGATCTACGAGGCTCTCGAACTCAGAGATGGCGACAAGTCTGTATTTGGGGGTAAAGGTGTCCTTAATGCTGTTCATAATATCAATTCCCTCTTGGCTCCTAAACTCATTGGTATTGATATTAGGTACCATTACCAATACTTGCCTCCTTTTTCATATAAAATATTTATTTATTTTTATTCATGTTTTGATTTATTAGTTTATTCTTGAATTTATTGATGATTTTTCTTTTGCCTTCTTGCTATTTCAGTGTGTTACTTGAATAATGAACCTTGTCTAAATCTTATTTACAATACTGGGTGCTTTATTATTTGGATTACTCTAATTGCAAAACTGAAAATCATCTGTGTCTTGAACCTACGTAATGTTTTATGAATGACAGCTTTTATATCTAGCGGTCGGTTTGCTATTATCTTTTTTGAATTTCTAAAGGCATAGATAATACTTCCACCTCCGAACAAACTGTTGTTTGTTTTAATTAAGTGGTGCCAAATGTGTATTTGTCAATTCCTAGTAGTAGTACAGCATGATTGTAGAAGACGCTGATCGATTAGAATTGTTTTCGTATGGAATAAACAAAGGCCCCGTATGGTTGGCAAGATAAGCCATGATTAACTAAATAGTTGGACTTAATTTGATGTTTGGTATCCTCAATAAATTGCCGGGTCGACCCGCCAAAATTATATAATCATGGCTTATCTTGCATTCTAATGAGTTTTTTTTGTTGGACGTTTGAAGCTCCAATAAAATAATTGGGTCTCATTAGATTATTTAATCTTATCTTGGCTAATCTTATCTTGCCAACCAAACGGGGTAATTCAATTAGCAACCATTATCAGAGGTATTTGTTCACTTGTTATAATATATATATTGGCGGCTTTTCTTGTTGTGAGTGAAGGAATCAGAAGGATGTGGATGCGGTTATGATAGAGATTGACGGGACGCCAAATAAATCGAAACTGGGGGCGAATGCAATATTAGGAGTATCTCTAAGTGTGTGTAGAGCTGGTGCAGGAGCAAAGGGAGTGCCGCTATACAAACACATACAAGAAATATCAAACACAAAAGAGCTTGTTATGCCGGTGCCTGCATTCAATGTTATCAATGGTGGCAGTCACGCTGGTAATAACCTTGCCATGCAAGAGTTCATGATATTGCCTGTCGGAGCCAACTCTTTTTCCGAGGCTTTCAGAATGGGTAGTGAAGGTTACTCTCTATCCTCTTTTATTATCTTTTATTAATTTCTTTTTTCTTAATATTTAATATTTATATCTCTAACAATAATCATTAGTAAAAACTAACACAGTCAATATTAAGATATCTTTCTCCTCTATTTGGCTGGGTACTACTGTATATGTAAATGGTTTGAATTAGTATTTTTGTATAGAGTTAATCCGAATATATAACCTGTCTCTCTCTGATTTAGAACAAATTATGCAATATTCTGTCCAGTCGGAATGTATAAGAAATATCTTAATGTATTATAATATTTAACTTGGTCGAGCACATCTTATGAAACAATGAACCACACTAGAGAATAGAGATACTTTGTTTTATGGGAATAACTGCAACTCGTATAAAATCTCCCTGTTAACCCTTGATTCATTTTGGCTTAGGCTATTTGGTCTTTTAGATTTATTAAAATTACAAATCCTGAATAAGGAGAGTATTTTGAAATACGAGATTTATGTGATTTGCAACAAAATGTAGAAAAAAAATAGTTTCTAAAATCCGTCTCTCAGCATAATGTGCAATTCTCATATAACAACTAATTGTATTGGCTTTGGTTTGGTGCACGAACAGTTTATCATATATTGAAGGGAATAATAAAAGCTAAATACGGACAAGATGCATGCAATGTGGGCGATGAAGGTGGATTCGCTCCGAATGTGCAGGATAATAGGGAAGGTTTAGTACTTCTCATGGATGCTATTGAAAAGGCTGGCTACACCGGGAAGGTATTTTACCAATTTGTGATGTGATAAACGTCGTTTCAGTTTATATAGTACCGTCTCGACTTCAAACATGATTTGCACTAATTTTTAAGACTGAATTCGGAAAAACTCAAAACACAGAATCTATAGTTCTTTGACTTCAACTAAAAAAGGGAATGAATTAAATAATTATTGGGCAGATCAAAATAGGGATGGATGTGGCGGCTTCAGAGTTCTTGACTAAAGAAGGAAATTACGATCTCAATTTCAAGAAACAACCGAATGATGGTTCTCATGTGCTGACACCTGGAAGCCTTGCTAATCTATACAGAGAGTTTGTGAGAGACTTTCCTATTGTATCGATCGAGGACCCATTTGACCAAGATGATTGGACTTCTTGGTCTTCACTTCAATCCTCTGTTGATATCCAGATTGTCGGTGACGATTTGTTAGTCACTAATCCCAAGAAAATTGCTGAAGCTATTCACAAGAAAGCCTGCAATGCTTTGCTGCTCAAGGTAATACAAAACAATTCTTCTCTAAGTATAAATATATATGTGCATGCGAATTGCAATAATGCGTTGACTATATGATATTATTGCATGCAGGTTAACCAGATTGGTACAGTGACAGAATCAATACAAGCAGCACTTGACTCAAAAGCTGCTGGTTGGGGAGTTATGGTTAGTCACCGCAGTGGTGAGACTGAAGACAACTTCATTGCAGATTTGTCTGTCGGCCTTGCTAGTGGACAGGTTTTTTTTTTAGTATTCCATCTTTTTTTTCTTTTTTAAATTCATTTTTCATTTTTTTGTCTGTGTTCACCGCATTGATCTAACTTTATTATTCATTATGCAGATCAAGACAGGAGCTCCTTGCCGGAGCGAGCGTTTGGCCAAATATAATCAGGTCGAGTTTATATTTTGGAAAAAATAAAAAGAAAAATGTCGATTCCCTTCTTAGTTTTCAGCTTCATCTCGGGCCAATTATTGCAGTATGCTTGATATTTTCCGTACTGATTCTATGTATGTATTCTTGGTTCTAATTACAGCTTCTGCGCATTGAAGAGGAACTTGGAAATGTTCGCTATGCTGGTGAAGCTTTCAGATCCCCTTAGGACTTGTTTCATTTTCAAAATGATGGGATGAATCATCAGTTTGTTTTTTTTTTTTTTTTTTTTTGTATATCCGAGATGGTTAGAAATCTGTCGAGATAAAATTATTGAGCAAATTATTGCGGCAGACCTATTGAAAAATTAAAATAATACAGCTGGTGCAAAGAACACTGATTTTCTGATTTTGCATCAAGATTGATTAAACTCTTTGTCTTGTGTCATTCTCAATTGAACGAAACTTTCTTTCTGTTGCCATTTATTGTAATGTATAAAAATCACAGTGCTTTGAAACCTGGATGGGGCCGGCCGGTTAAACCGCGAACCGTTGCCTTGCCCTGTCCAGTTTGACTGGCTGAACCGTAATATCCGAAGCTTAGTGAAAATCGGGTTCTTTTGCCCAATTGTGCGTTTGTTTTTAAATAAACAAACTAAATGGCGAAAACGATGTCTTTTTACTGTTTGTTTGAGAAAAAAAATCTAAATAAAAAACTTTGAAATTGGAAGACGTATTATTTTAGATTATAATTTCTATAATATTTGAAATGATTTGATGTTATATGTGTGTGTAAAATAAAAGTAGGTTTGGTTTACATTTCAATTGGAAATGTGTGTGAAAGAAAATATGCTTTATTTACTATAAAAATAAATATACGTAATTATAAAATAAAAATGAACAAAACCGGTTGAACCGCGTTTGAACCAAACCAATCGTGGCCCAGTAGCTTGTCTGGGTCAATGTCCGGTCCGAGTACCAGAATCAAGTTCCCCGATGCACGCACTTTTGCTAAGGTTGTGAGAAAATAAGGCTCAATTATCCACTATTTTTTTTAGGGTAAGAAGATATTATTAGGCCAATGATACTAACTTGGAGGAAGGGTGAACCGTTCGGTAGAAGAATTGTCATACGACTTTGCAATAGCATTAGCAAGGCTATTCCCAGTATGCTTGATAAAACTGAATGAAATAGAATGAAATCAACTGGCAATTTCAAGACAGTCTTCAATGAGTGCGCCAAATGAAGCTAAGTTGGGTTCGCCATCTTTCAGCCCCTCAATGACCCGCATACATTCACCTTCCACTACAATTGGGTACCAACCAACTTCCTTAGCTTTCCTTAGAGATTGTAACACATCTTTAGCTTCTCCATCTACTAGTTGTGGTCGACCTGCTGGCTTCTCAATGCACAACCATTAATAATAATAATAATAATAATAATAATAATAATAATAATAATAATAATAATAATAATAATAATAATAATAATAATAATAATGTTATCTGTAGATGGCGGAGATCGACGATCGATTGACGACGAAGTAAGTCGACGAGGAACATCTAACGACGGAGAGGAAGCCTAAGTAAAGGTCGGACTGAGAAGAAGTAAGAAGTAAAAACTGGATTAGGTTTTTCCTTTTTCTTTTTCTCTCTTTTTGGAAGAAGAAGCAGAGAAGAGGAAATAAGTCTGATATGAGCAACTTGTAGTTTGTATATTGGGCCAATTCAAATGGGTTATATATTAATGTTCTTAAATAAAAAAATTGCAGCCCAATCCAAAATTGGAAAGTCATAGTTGCCTCAGTTAGTATAAAATATTGAATATATATATATATATATATATATATATATATATATATATATATATATATATAAAGGTATATTAATTTTTAAATGCATAAAAAAATTGTAAAAAATCGGAATTTTCGAAACTATTCAGAATTATTTTTGGATCGGAATTCGGAAATTCCGAAAATTTAATATCAAATTCCGATTCCGATTACAATTCGTTTTTTTTCGAAAAATTCGGAAATCGGATTACAAAAAATAGTTCCATAATCGGAAATATTCGGATCGAAATCGGCGGAAATTGGAAATTTTGTCCCAATTTTGCGCGTTTGCTAGCACAAATTATTAAACTCCGAGCACATTTCCCTGATTATCCCATCAAAAATATAACAATGGATAATGCCGGAGAATTTACATCAAAAAGTTTTGATGAATATTGTGCAGCACTGGGAATAAATGTCGAGCACCCAGTAGCATACGTTCACACTCAAAATGGACTGGCAGAATCTCTGATTAAACGCGTCCAAATAATTGCTCGTACTTTGCTAATGAGATCGAAACTCACTAGTGCAGCATGGGGCCATGCAGTATTGCATGCATCAGCACTGATTAAATTACGCCCCACTGCTTATCATATGCATTCCCCAATGCAATTGGCATTAGGCTTTGAGCCCGATATTTCGCACCTTCGCACATTTGGTTGCGCTGTGCAAGTGCCAATTCCTCCTCCTCAGAGGACTAAAATGGGTCCCCAACGCCAACTTGGCATATACGTTGGGTTTGATTCACCGTCAATTATTAGGTTCTTGGAACCAATGACGGGTGATTTATTTACCGCTAGATTTGCGGATTGTCATTTTGATGAGACATTATTTATACCGATTGGAAAGGATATTCAGAATATCCGTGATAATGATAAACAAAAACCAATCGAGAATCTCACATGGTGTGAGCAACATTTATCTCATCTTGACCCACGTACCTCTGAATGTGACAATGAGATCCATAGAATCATTCATTTACAAAATATTGCCAACAGACTTACTGATGCATTTAATGATGCCAGTAAAGTCACGAAGTCTTATATTCCAGCTGTGAATGTTCCAGCTAGGATCGATGTTCCTGAAGAACATTCGAAAATGAATAATGATCCCCCACGACAAAAACGGGGTAGACCTATTGGATCAAAGGACGTTATTCCTAGAAAAAGAAAGGGAAAAATCAATGAACCCTCAAATGAGGCGATTCCTAGTGAGAATGCTCCAGATGAATCTTTTGAGCCTGATATCGAAAAAGCGATATCAAATCCCGGGAATACCGAGAATTCCATAAGTTATTGCAATGAAATATGGGATAGAAATGAGATAATCATCGATAATATTTTTGCATTCTCGGTTGCACAAGAAATAATGTACGATGATTATGACAGTGAACCGCGTTCCATAATGGAATGCCGCCAAAGAAATAATTGGCCTAAATGGGAGGAAGCAATAAAATCTGAATTAGCTTCCCTAGAAAAACGGAAAGTATTCGGGCAAATCGTTCAAACTCCGGATAATGTAAAGACCGTTGGCTATAAATGGGTATTTGTCCGTAAGAGGAACGAGAACAATGAAATTGTAAGATATAAAGCCCGCCTTGTAGCTCAAGGTTTCTCCCTGCGGCCTGGGATTGATTATGATGAGACGTATTCACCTGTGATGGATACGATCACTTTCCGTTTTCTTATCAATATGGTCGTCCAAGAGGGACTGGACCTGCGTCTAATGGACGTTGTAACTGCATATCTATATGGTTCACTAGATTCTGATATTTATATGAAAATTCCCGATGGATTTAAAATGCCAAATTCTGGCGCTCCTCGTGAGCTGCACTCAATCAAATTACAGAGATCATTGTATGGTCTAAAGCAATCCGGTCGCATGTGGTATCATAGATTGAGTGAATACCTTATCTGGGAAGGTTATAAAAATGATCCTATTTGCCCATGCGTTTTTATTAAAAGATCAGAAACCGGATTTGCTATTATTGCGGTTTATGTAGATGACATGAACCTCATTGGCACTCCTGAAGAGTTGGCCAATGCTGCTGAATATTTAAAGAAAGAGTTTGAGGTCAAGGACCTTGGAAAAACCAAACTCTGTCTTGGTATTGAGCTTGAGTATAAAAATAACGGCATACTTATACACCAATCTGCATATACTAAACGATTGCTCAGAAAGTTTAATATGGAAAATTCCAATTCATTGAGCACCCCTATGGTTGTGCGAAATTTAGATCCTGAAAATGATCCGTTCCGACCTAAGGAATTTAATGAAGAGATAGATACTTGGCCCAGAAGTGCCATATCTAAATGCTATCGGAGCGCTAATGTATCTAGCACAATGCACTCGACCTGATATCGCTTTTGCGGTAAATGTGCTTGCGCGATACAGTTCTGAGCCTACCCGGAGACACTGGAATGGTGTTAAACATATTTTTCGATATCTCCGTGGTACTGCAGATTTGGGATTATTTTATTCGAAAAATTCAACTAACCAAGGGTTAGTTGGTTATGCCGATGCGGGATATAGATCTGATCCCCACAAAGCTCGCTCACAAACTGGATATTTGTTTTGTTATAATGGTGCAGGTATATCTTGGCGATCTACCAAACAGACATTGGTGGCCACCTCCTCAAATCATTCAGAAATAATAGCTCTTTATGAGGCAGGCAGAGAATGTGTTTGGCTACGATCGGTTATTTCGCATATACGAAACTCCTGCCAATTACATCCAGTTATAGCCTCGCCCACTGTCATTTATGAAGATAATGCTGCTTGCATAGCACAAACAAGGGGCGGATACATAAAAGGTGATAGGACCAAACATATATCACCAAAGTTCTTCCATACACATGAGCTTCAGAAGAATGGCGAAATTGATGTTCGACAAATTCGCTCATGTGAAAATCTTGCTGATTTGTTTACAAAGTCCTTGCCGACTTCTACATTTGAGAAGTTGGTATACGCCATTGGAATGAGAAGAGCCAATATGAAGGTAGATTGACGGCTCTATATATACTGCTAATTTCAGGGGGAGCAATGGTGCGCTGCACTCTTTTTCCCTTATGACTGGTTTTGGTCCCATTGGGTTTTCCAGCAAAGGTTTTTAACGAGGCAGCTTATGCACACGGCTTGGATTGAGTTATGCACTCTTTTTCCCTTCTGACCGGTTTTATCCCACTGGGTTTTCCGGCTTGAGGTTTTTAACGAGCATATATTTTCACTCATCCACTTTACAGCCGCTACAGATAATACTTAGTCCAAGGGGGAGTATTATAATATATAATATATATTACTTATGGACTAAGGAATAGATAGCTATCCTAGCTCTAATGCTACGTGTCATTATATAGATTGATGACTTAGCTTTTGCATGACTATGCATGTAAATCTTGTACTATAAAACAACATGAATTGCAATGAGAAGACACAACAATTCCATTTACATTTCAATAGCAGATTTCTCGGTCATTCACTATTCCCTTCCCATATATTACAATAGTGCAGTTCTTATATTATTATTATTTTATTCTATAACAACTTATAATTAATTAGGCAACATGAGTTTTTTTTGTCCTATAAATTTACTAGTTGGGAGTTTTAGTCCACCATATTTCGAAATCAGAATTTTAGTCCTCTAGATTTCAAAATTTGAGAATTTTGATCCTATAACCTGCTATAACAAGTAATGCAATGGCTAGTTGAATTTTGGCCTTATTTGTTCGTGTTCATTTCCAAGAACATTTCGCTTTGAGCACATGAGCCATTTTCAAGTAGTGTTTAATCGTTTACCTATTAATCAATATTTTCGATTCATTAGTATGAGGTTATCGACAAAAAAAATATAGTCACTTGTTAACCAATTTAGCTTCCTGAAAGTTTACACTCTTTCAACTCGAGCAAACTTCAAGGAATTGAATATTTTTTTTAAAGAATACGAAGCTTGATTTTAAAGTCAAAATAATTCAGTTATTAGGTACGTGCAAGCGATTTTGTAGAACTATACCTGATGAAATACATCATTTACTACTATATTTATTCGGTAGTAATTTATATAGATCTACAGTTTAAAATCACATGGTGTATTCTGTAGGACCTCGTAAACCCTATGATCCGGGCTATCTTGCCTCTAACATCAAATAGTAGGTGATCTGGGTTGATTTCCCTAGGCCCAAATGTCCACCGTCTACCCTCTTAGAACTAACCCACTCTCCACTCTTTTCTCTCTAGAATTAGTACAAAGAAGAGAATAAGAAATATGTGAACACAATTCACTAGATGACTCAACTATATAATACACATGTATCTTCATGCATAAGGAGGAGGATAATAAATACCACACATAAAAGAAACACATACTATACCAAGAACACACAAATACAACGATGTGGCCATTCAATTGGTCAATATTTACACGTCAGATTGAATTTTTTGAGTTAGTACAATGTTTTGGAATTAGTTAATTATAATATAGAATTGGTGGAATAACAACAATTTGGATCTACGTCCAAGTTTTACAAAGTTGGGAATGCATATCCGAAAGATAAAACATAAATTATTGAGCACTAGTAAAAGCGGTCGGAGAAGATTCATATTTATTAAAATAAGTCCAAAAGACAATCTTGTTGTACCTCCACTTTCTTCCTTCAACATTCAAAGTATAAACTTTTGACACTTTTTCAGCTTTTAAGTTGCTCATGGTGAACACGTGATATGCAGATTTTTAAGTCATTTAAATTCATCTTTTCACCAAATCTATTAATCACTTCTACCAAACATTTAATTTCACATGAATACTTTTCATTATTACTATATGTAGTTTTGGATGAAAACAAATAAATTTTGTTTTGTTTATTCTGTACACGAGTTAATAATTATTTCAAAGATATTGAATTGAAGCTTACTAATTACATGACAACATTTAATTAAATCTAAATGAAAGAGAGCGTCTCGCATGAATGACCTAGCGGTTGGAGTAAGAAAGTTTGTGTCCATTGTAGGTTAACTCAGTGCACCTATATATATGTCGATTGCTGGTTTCTTTACTAAAAAATGAAAAAAAGAAAATGAAAGAGAGAGAGAAAAAAAAAGTATTTTTTTTCACTAAGTAGTAATTAATTAACTTCTTAATTCAGCGCATATATTATAATTAATTAGTATAATATTAACCAATGAGTTGATATATAGTAGAATACTAATTCTTTTGTAAAGAAAGAAGGATTCGTAGTTACATAGATGCGTGTGGGTAGAGGTTTTGGTCTCTTCTTTTCATTTTTGTTTTTATCATGTATTATTATATTTCTAATTTATGTTGCTTTAGTTATCATCAAGGAATTTTGGCTTTAGAGAATGATTAACAATTAGCTATAAAACAAGGTTTTCAGTCTTTTTCAATATACTGTTTAGAGGCACTACAGATTCCCATCCTCATTGCATTTCCAACTATTATATGTTTAGTTAAATTAAGGTATTAGATTATATGTTAACAAAAAAACATAGGGACTACTAGGTCATGGGATACCTGCACGAAAACGAAATTTACTCAGCGTACGTATATGACTCATATACAGGTCGATTTTGATAAAAGGGTTTCTTTTTTCTATTTACCAAAATGGAAAGGAAGAAAATACCGGTTTAAGATATTATGATTTCAATAAGTCGTAGTTCAAACTTAGCTGTGAAACACGTTGTTTTGCAGTTGGTGAATTGGTGTTCACTGCATTGGTCTCACTGTTTTTTTCTAAAATATTGTCGCAAAAACGCCCTGTGAAAACTTACTTTTTAATGGACTGAAAAATCTACTATAAGTACTTGGAAATAACGTATATGATAGGAATCTGTTCGGTAAACTTCAGCTGAACATCTCCCAAAGTTGGGCCTTCAAGACGAAACAATGTGGGCCATGAGAATTAAAGGGATTTAAGGGGCCGAAGGCATATTATTGAAAATTATAGACCGCAAAGAGTTCGCCACTAGGGATATGAAGATTCGGAGGAAATCAAGGTGTGGTAGGTGGGCACCTGGCCAATAGCAGTTGGAAGAGCAAGACGTGGGATTTTCATTTCATAGATATATTAGAAAATTAAATCAACCAAAGTAAATCTCGACCTAGTTAAGGTGAGTTAAAATAGGAAGAGATTAGAAAGATCTTCATATATAAGTCCCCGTAACAAATCCAATTAGGGCTAATGTTCACTTAATAACATCAACACATACTTTCTTCTTAATCTCTCTCTTTATTTATGATTTTTTGGGTCGTTAGATTATCTTCACCGGTCATAACTCTGATGTTAGGTGATCTTTTCCGACAGTCAAGGAAGAGGGATTTGGATACAATATCAATTTTATTCTCCTCAAAAGTTGCCCTCATCATTTTTTATTTTGTAACCAAATTCTTACATTTCCGACTCTACGCTTTCGCATAAAATTGATGGACTTTAATTAACTAATTTTCTTCAATTATTTTTAAACCAAAATAACGTTGTTCATCACACAAAAAAAAAAAAGGGGGAAACTTTCACTACATCTATAAAATCGACTTGGGTAAAAAAAAATTATTTTCTTTAATTTTTTTTCCAGGTATAATTAATTGCGTAGGACTATTCAAACATGCACATTAACCCAAAATGTACATAATGTGTATAAGTTGATAATCATAATCAATCAAAATTACTTTTAGCAGGTTATGTAATAAAGCTGTAAAATATTAATTTACCATCCCAAATCTGGTCATCGAATCAATTCTGGCGGTCTCCCGAAAACGGTTGATTTACGTAGAGTTTACTTAAAGCACATAAGGGCATATCCGTCTTTCTGTCCTAACAAAGCAAACAGCAATATATCTTGCCAAACTAAAAAAAGAAAAAAAAAGAAAGAGATGATGAAAGCAAAGTAAAGGGCCTCACTTTTGTTAGTGTCACTTTGGAGAATTGCTTTGGCATTGGAAAAATAAGTGGAGAGACCATTAATTGTTGAGTTGAATTAACAAAATTAATAATAATAATAATGCAGCAAATTCCTAATGAAGTAGCTACTCTTTTCTACAATGTCTCTAGCTCTTTGTTTCTTCTCTTCATTTTTTTCCATCTCACTTCCATTTTTCTTGCCAAGATATTCACCTTCTTCGGCGGCAATCCATTTCACCTAAGGTATATGCATACACAATAATGCAATTCAGCTTTTTTTTTTTTTTCGGACCAAAACGATGATTATTGTATTATTACAATGTTATTGTAATTTTGTGCCGTTTTAATTTTGGTGCAGGAATCAAGATGGATACGAATTCGGCGCGTTTTCTGATGAGGAAAACATGGAAGATGAGAATATTGAGTATTACGGCGGCATGGAGGCTAATAATGGTATGGAGGAGAAAATCAGTTTTGTGGAAAACGCGGTTTATCGTGAAAGAGAAGTGGTAATGAGTGAATCAAATGATGACGAGGACGACCGAGAATCGTTGGAAGAAGAAAGTAGTATAGGTGATGTTAGTAGTGAAGAAATTACAAGTAGCTACACCACACCTGCATCTATTGAATCCACTGATAATGATGATGATGATGATGAACAAGAGATTCCGAGGACAAAAGATTCTTTCTATGATTCTGAACCAAATCAAAATGACCCCACATCAACAACAACAACATCATTTCATCATCAAGGTCATCAAATTAATTTCTTATAATTAATTATTTTTCTAATTAATTACTAGTAGTTTGTTTTAATTTTTTAATTTATAACGATGAATTATTTGTATACAGATTTTTCAGAGAGTAATACGACTAAATATGATAGCGGCCGATCGCACAAGGTTGTTACAAGAAACGAGGCGGAAAACATTAAGATGATGAGTTTGAGGGAAGAAGAAAATTTCCTGGTGTTTAAACCGACAATGAAAGGAAAGAAGTTGATGGAAGAGAAGGATGAGATTTACGGAGACACGTTAACGGTTGGATCGACGTCTAAAGATTCATCGGAATGGAGAAGCTCAATCAACTGTACGGACGATCCATTTTCTTCTTCATCGAGAAGGAGCTGCCCCAATTGGGAATCCTACACCGTCTTCCAAAAGTACGACGAAGAAATGCTGTTTTTAGACCGTATCAGCCTTCAAAAGCTCCACGAAACAGGTGCTTAATTAATTAATTAGCAATTCTTCTAGTATTTATTCTATTTTCTTTTTCATTAATTATTAGTTTCTCTCGTCTGCACAACCATCTCTTGTACGTATAAATGTTAATGTTGTTAAATTAATTGGATTAATTTGCAGAGTCGATGAGATCGATACAAGCGTGTCCACGATCCATATCAGAAAGAATTGTCCACAAATTGACAACAAAGAGACAAAAAACATCAGAATACCGACAAAATCCGTACCACGAACTGGAATCGGCTTATGTGGCACAAATATGCTTGACATGGGAAGCTCTAAACTGGAACTACAACTACTTTCAACGGCTAAGGGCCTCACGCGCTCAAGAATCTGATCCAGGGTGCCCTGCTTACGTGGCGCAGCAGTTCCAACAGTTCCAAGTTCTCTTGCAAAGGTACGTCGAAAACGAGCCTTACGAGCACGGTCGAAGACCCGAGATATACGCAAGAATGAGAAGTTTGGCACCTAAACTTCTTCAGGTTCCAGAATATCGAGGTATTATTGATAATAATTTAATTTATGGAAAAATTACCCTTTTCGTCCCTTGAGTTTTTAACCTCGATTTCTGCATTTGGTTCCCTTGTTCACAAAAAATAGATTTAGTCCCTAATGCTTCAACAATTTAGTATTTTTGTTCATTTCTGGCAATTTTCCGTTACTACTAACAGAAGAAAGCATATGCCGATCACTCTTTTAACTGAAGGACTAACGATAAATTGACAAAAAATGACCAAATGTGTCAAATTGTTGAAATATGAGGGATTTTTTATTTTACTTTTTGAACATAGGGACCAAATGTTAAATCGGTAAATAGTTGAGGGGCGAACACTGTAATTTTATCTTTTAATGTATATATGCATGTCTTGCCTTGATTAGAATATCATTGATCTGTATCCTCTATTGAATTCAGTTACACAATTTATGCGTTAATTTTTAATTAATTGTAGATTCGGAAGATGATAAGAGAGAGGAAGGGGTAAGTACAAGCTCGAGAATCCCGTCGAGGTCGTTTCTAATAATAATGGAAGAATCAATAAGGACATTCCTGAATTTTATGAAACAAGACAAAAAAAATCACTACCAAATGCTGGCTGATTTATTCAGGAGGAGGAGGAACAATAAAAGGGGATCAGCTGATGCTACTCTCCTCTTCCTACTAAAGAAAGTTAACAAAAAGGTATATCTATATATATAAATATTGCATTCATCATACATTATAATATTATATGGCGTTTATTGCAAGTGTTATGTCAAATTGCTAGAAAATTACCCTACGTTATTTTATTACTAAAATACCCCCGACGATCCAATTTCTTTTAGCACACAATCGTCTGATGCAATTTTAAACTATACATTACTACATTATATTTATATTTGAATTATTATTGTTATAACATAATAAAACATCCAACTAATAAGAAAAAGAATATAACGAACGCAGAAAAAGTCAAAGATTAAGGAGCTTCGTCGAAGAGGAAAGTGCATGAGAAGAAGGAGGATGAAAAATGAAGAAGAGAAAGGCGAGCTGGAGATAATGATGGCGCAAATAGACCTAAAAGTGGTATCGAGAGTGTTGAGAATGGGGGATTTGAACGGAGAACAGTTGCATTGGTGTGAAAACAAGATGAGTAAAGTAAGAGTATCGGATGGGAAACTACAGAGAGATTCCTCTCCCCTTTTTTTCCCTGCACCACCAGCGGATGATGAACACTATGTCCCACCACCACCATGCACCCACCCACCACCCTTGAATGCTAATTATTAAAACAATTACACATGAAAAGGAGGCTGCTTTATATATACACATATTGATTGATGACTAGACGCTGATTCTGTCTATTTGCATGACTTTGCATGCTACATATCCACTTTTCGTAAATATAAAATACACTTAATTTATATGATACTTGAATAACATGAATATCCACTATATATATATATATATATATATATATATATATATATATATATATATATATATATATATATATATGGAATTTCTTGATTCAATGATATTCTGGCGGATCCACTGTGGTGCAAAGGGTGTGCAGCTGCACACCCTTAATTTAAAAAAAAAATATATTACCTATATATTTAATTATATAAAAACTAAAATGAGATTAATTTTTTATGTGTTCTTGTAGCTGGGAAAGGTTGCTATAGAAATTTTTAAAAGACTAGAGTTCGAGTCCATTTGTACCCTTCCTATGCCTTTTAATTTTAAGTTCTAATTTGCTACACATTTTCACCAATTTTCTGTCTAAATATTTCCTAATTATCCCAAAATTTGTAAATAATTTTCTTAAACCCGAACCCCCATAAATTTTGACTCGATGATTATTTTTTTTCTATACTTAATTTCAAACATCCTTGGCAAAAATCATGGATTTGCCATTGATTATGTGTACGTATAATAGTACTCAACTGGGTCCGTACTCCGTCTTAATGCGCCGTCGGATCTCTATTTTTTTTTTTTTTTTATATATATCTATATCTTTCGTAAAGATGTAGACATGTAAGCAAAAAAGATGGATAAAACAAAAAAAAAATGTGAGGAGAGTATTATTGAAGGTATACAATGTTTTCTGCTATACACACACAAACACGCATACACACGTGTCCCACATCGTAAAGTAGTGGTGTATTTATTTTGGTGGTGGGGCGACGAAGATTTGGGAAGGTGGAGAGTAAAGATATATAGTTTGGTGAAGAATGAGAGAAAGGGAGAAGCAAAGAACAATGGGATAGAGACGCAATACTGGCTGGCTGGCTTTAGTGATTAATCATCCACCTTTATCTTTCTTTTGAATTGAGGGATTTGGATTTCGATTGGATTGGATTGGATTATCTACAGAGGATTAAAGAAAAGCAAGGCTGAATAATAAATGTTTAGCAGTGTAAAAGAGGAGTGGCACATGAAAAGTAGTTATGAGGGTCCTACAATTGATTCATTTAATTTAGACAATTGAAATATTAGAAATAGTTGTTGTGTTTTGTAATTAATATGATCACGTACTTCAGGTGGTCGGACGAGTTGCAAATATTCCATCCGTTCCAAGTCGCTGGTGGATTTTTCTTGTTTCAAATTATCCTTTTTTTTTTTTTTTTTTTTTTGAGATGATGTTTCAAATTATATGTCACTTTGGAATTTCAATGATGCATTAGTTACTATATTCTCAATTTTACTCTTATTAATATTCATTAATTGACTGAGAATTAATGGAAACAACATTAATAGCATGGATATTTTAGTCATTCTATATATTTTTTTCTCTAAAATTGACGCACATTTATTAGTTTTCTTAATATGTGCGCAACAATCCAGAGCGACACATATTTTGGCATGGAGGGAGTAATTGATTTGGGATAACGAATGAAGGTTGATTTTTCAAAAGGGGCAATTTGTTATAGGTCCCTCCATATTATAATTTATGTGTATAAATCCAATCAAAGTTTTCATATTTTAATAAATTAATGATAGATATTAAGGCAAAAATACCCTTAAGTCAAATGAAATCAAATCCCCACAAATCTCTCTATCAAAACTAATTTCCAAACATCTCTCTTACAAATATTAACTAAAAAATGATTTAATTCGTTAAAAAAAATATATTATTTATTTTACAAACCCATACTCTTAAAACGCCACCGCCGTTGCACCACTGCCTATGACTCCATGAACTCCGACTCACTTGGTTAACTACAAATAGCAAACTGAAAATTAGAATTTGTATTATTGAATTTCAAACAACAAAATACCTATGATTTCGCCAAATGCAAACAACAAACTGAAGAATAAAATTCCATAATTTGCATTATTGAATTACAAACAAAAAACTACCTATGACTTCGACAAGTGAAAACAGCAAAACAGTAAAAAAAAATCAGCAGAACTTGCATTATTAAATTGCAAGCAATAAACTACTGATGACTTCGTCACATGCAAACAGCAAACTGAAAAAAATCAGCATCATTAAAAAAATTAACAAGAAAATTGTTTATGGAACACGTTGCAAACAACAAAAACATTAAACGAAGTGTTTATAAAAATGTAATTTAAGACATACCTTATAAATTATAAACCAGAGGAATCGAATCTCAACACCAAACGCAATTCTTCAAACAACAAACGAAGTTAAACCAACCTGCAAACGAAAATTGCTAACAACAAACGATGAAGATTCTACATACGGAAAAGTACTCAATGCCAATTTTGGCTAGGGCTTTGAATTTCTGATTTTATTTTATTTTTTGGTAGGGGGGAGGGGATGTTTGTTGTCCACTTTAATTCTTTCACCAAGAAATCATCTCATAATCTTAAAAGATCTTTTTTTTCCTTCTCCATAATATTTCTTCATAAAAAATATAAAGAAAAAGAAATAGAAAAAAAAAATCATAGAAGCACAAAGAGAGAGACGGAGGTGAGATACAAATGGAGAGAGAAATGAGGGATTAAATATAGGATGAGAGAGACATGAGATTGGAGAGAGAGGAAGTGATACTCATGAGATTTATTTTTCTTATTAATTAAGGATGTTTATGTCTATATACTAATTATTTTATAATATTTATATTATTTATTTTTTGTCAAATGACCTATACCTATATTTATTTAGCGACTATAATCTCTACCTATATAAGTCCAAACTAAGGGTGTCTAGTAAATTCCTCTTTTCAAAATAGGGGCAAATGTCTACAAGTCTCTAACAATCACACTTTGTAACTAAACACCACGTGAATCATAGAACAAATAATTGATACTATTCCATTCACTTCTGTCAAATATATAGATAGATTATAAGATAGCAAAAGTAACATACGTATATAGCCTAACAAATAGATATTTAATAATTAGTTATAATAGATAAGTTATATTATCAATAGCACCTTACAAATAAGTCTATCAATTAATACGCTATATTATTAAGGGCCCAGACAAAAAAAACTCTTTTACAAAAAATCAACATATTGTCTAAGTGTTTGTAAAAGGACTAAAATAGCTCATCGCATTTTAATATGGTCTAATTTCATCATTTAATTTAATTCAATTTAACCTCAATTTGGCCCCAAATTTTACAAATTATTCAATTTGACCGAAAAGACAATTTTGCCCTCGCCGCCGTTGACTGCCAGTCTCCGACGATGACTTTTTTTTTTTTTTTGAATTTTGATTTTTTTCTTTAACATCTTTTTGACCCCTGTTTAAACCTTACTATTGTTGTGGTTGACAGTAATATTAATTATACTACAGTTTAACACAGTAATATTGTTATATTAATCTCTAGCACAATAATATTAGGGGCTTTAAGATATAGGTCCCTGGTGACAAAACTTATTAGAATTAAATGACAAGTCTAACTAAACATTTGTTTCACATCCTTTATAAATTTCATTCCAAAAATGCCCTTCACACACAAAAAATGAAATATGCACCAAGTAATATTTAAACTGTATTTATCATTTTTTTCGTTCTGCATTTAATATTTTTCATTTTTTTATCTAGTATTTTGTAATTATTTTTATTAGAACACGTTGGTTTTTTTTGCATTTTCTTATTTTTTTCGACAAAATCTTGAAAATTATGATTTTGTAATTTTTTTTCGACCGTAGTCTTCTATAGAAATCCGTAGGAAATCGTAGTCCATAGTCACGTATAGAAACTCGTAGGAAACTGTAGTAATCCGTAGTCAAATATTCTTAAAACCCTAATTCATCTTTTCAACCCTAACCGCCAGACACCCATAGACACTGACAGACATCTATAGACATGAAATCGGAAAATTTTAGATCCACCTCACCAAACCGTAGATCTCCTCCACCAAACCCTATATCTGCGACACCAACATCACCCACTAAACATGGCACAACCCCCACCCACGCTGTCGTTGCCATCCACATCCCACCCCCAACATCGATCGCCACCGGCACCATCCCTCAACCCCCAAGTGCCGTCGCCCAACGAGCGCCGCGCCTCCTCCGAAGCCGTCGCTGTCCAACGAGCGTCGCGCGTCCTCCAAAGCCGCCGCTGCCCAACGAGCGCCGCGCCTCCTCCGAAGCCGCCGCTGCCCAACGAGCGTTGCGCCTCCTCCAGCACCGCTGTCATAGTTGTCGCTAGATCCACCACCAACCATAACCGTTTCCACAACCAAGCCCCTCGCCCAGAGTTTCCACCATACACAGTGTTTCACCGCTTATGTAACCAATTCACTTCTTCACCGTCGACTAATTAATAGATCTATCAAAAATAAGAAAAAAAATATAGAGAAAAGGGGAGATGTTGGGTTGGCGGAGGAAATAAATGTATGAGAGAGAGAGATAGAGGGGGGAGTGGTGCTGTGGAACGATGGAGAGAGAATGGGTGGGTGGGGCCGCTGAAAGAAAAAAAAAGTAGAGGAGAAAGAGGAAAATGAAACCTAATATTTTATTAGTTATATTGAAGGGTATTTTTGGGTTAAATAAAAATTAAAAGATGTTAATCAAATTTTATTCGGAATTATCGATTTAGTTAAAATGTTTTAATTGAGGTTGTCCCCCATATCTAATTAGGTTTAATTTTAGGGGTGTCAAGCATATTACCCCATAATATTAACACAACAAAAGTCATTATTATTGTGTAATAAAGTACTATTAATATATTGACCGTTCAACAAAGGTAAACATAATAAAAAGCCGAAATAATTAATTTTGTTGTGGTTGACATTAATACTACTGTAACAACAATAATATTACCGTCAACCACAGTAATATTATTTTGTTTACAATAATACTACAATAATAGACAGTAATATTATTACGTTACTCCGTCAACAATAAACAAAATAAAAAACCCAAAAAATAATAATATTGATGTGGTTGACAGTAATATTATTGTGTTTACAGTTATTTTACTATCAACGACACTATTATAATTATGTTGACCTGTCAACAAATAAAGCAAAAAAAAAAAAAAAAACTTTTATTTAACTTCAATGAAATCACACAGCTTTAAGATTGACATATAACAAATTTTGAGTTTTAAGATATTGATTTTAAAACCCTGCTCTGATACAAATGGAAAGACTTTTATTTAACTTTATGCGGAAACCCTAATAACAAAATCTTGAAATTAAATTCATCTTAAGAACATAATCACATAATTGGGATTATCGACATATCGTCCTCCGTGGATTTCGATAGAGACGATGAACGAGGATGATAGCAATCTACAAGCCAAGCCTCCACCGAATCTCCATGTGAGAACTTTATTCGTAGGCACACCTTCTTCTCTCTATCTTTCCAATATCACAACTCACTAGTATTCTGTAAGTGATGGAATTCTCAAATTGCGTCTGCTGTTGAGGAGAAGAGTTGTGGATTCTTTTATAGACGAGAAAAGAGGGCCACACAATTCTCTTGTAACAGCAGAAGACAAATCCACCCATCATGGTCTTTTATTACCATCATATGTTACAAATCAATTACAATAAATTAACATTAATTTCATAATTGAATTACCCACAATTAATTAATTAAATTCAAAGGTTAGTAGGCCATTAATAAAAATAAAACTAACAGTTATATTATTACTAAAATTTTTAAAATCATAAGAACTTTTAGGTTGTTAGAATGTTATTTACCAAGGTTTTTAGGCGTTTGAACCATCTTTTGGCTTTCTTAAGGTATTTCGATGGTGTTGTTAACTGACATCTGAGATGTTGAACCTCAAACATCAACCGAAACTCTGCAAATAACAAACGAATTCAAAGAGCACACAGAATATTTCTAACAATGAAAGTTTTCAAGCTAATTGCTATGGAAGACGAACTGCAATTTGGTAGCCAAGTTTCTGCATTTGCACCCATTTTCCGAGAGTGATTTGAGATGCTAGATTACATAATTATTTTCAGGAGAAATTGTTGGGATTTTAATTTGAGGAGAGATTTGTGGGATCACTCCCTAAAAATTCTAATTTATGTAGGACATTAATATAAATTGGGGTAAATTGCACATCACCCTCTAAAAATTCTAATTTTTGTATTTTACCCCCTCAAAATTTTAAAAAGTGAATGCCCCCTCAAAATGTTATTTTTGTTTCACATTGCCCCGATAGAAAAATTTCGATGGATTATTCATCGGCATTTGAGTACTTTTGTTGCACATAACCCCTTTATATGTTATTTTTGTTGCACGTTACCCCTTCAAAACATTATCTTTTTGCACATTAATGTCCCTTTAAATGTTATTTTTTGTGCACAATACCCATAAAAAATTGGGGTCTTAAGATATAAGTCCCTGGTGACAAACTTTATTAGAACTAAATGACAGTCCTAATTAAAATTTGTTTCACATCCTTTATCAAAATTCATTCCAAAAATACCCCTCCATTCACAAATTCGAAAATTAAGTCAAATTATAAATATTCTATGATGTACTATGGTATTATTTAACATTTTTAATTTGCATCCAACATTTTTGTAAATTCGAAAATTAAGTCAAATTATAAATATTCTATGATGTACTATGGTATTATTTAACATTTTTAATTTGCATCCACAATTTTTGTTATTTTTTTTTACGTATAATATGTCTATCTTTTTTTTTTTTTTCTCATTAAGAATCTTTTTTTTTTGGTACATAATATTGAAAATTATGATCTTTTTAATTTTTTTTCCGGCCGTAGTCATTGCAGACACCCATAGAAACCGTAGTAATCCATAGTCATCTGCAGACATCTTGAAACCCTAAATCCTCATTTGAAACCCTAAAGCCTTCTTTGAATCCTAGCCGCCAGCCGTCAGACACTCATAGAAACTCATAGACATCTATAGATATCAAAATCAAAAAAACTTGGATTCGCCTCACCAAACCCTAACTCCGCCCCCACCAACCCTAGATCCGGCCCAACACCGCCGCCGCACAACCCCTGCAAACCTCCGTCGCACAGCCCTGCAGCCCCCGCCTCCACCACGACCCCGGCCCACCCACCGCCGCACAACCCCAGCCCCCGCCTCCACAAAGACCCCGGCCCACCCACCGCCGCACAACCCCTGCAGCCCAAGCCTCCACCACGACCTCGGCCCACCCATCGCCGCACAGCCCTTGCCATCGCGCCTCCACCACCGTTGCTGGTTCCTCTCCTGCCACCGCCGGCGACGGCCTTCGATTCGTGCTTCTAGTGGAGAAAAAGAGAGATCTAAAGAGATGAGAGAAAAGGCAGATAAAGAGAAAAAAAACGATAGAGAGAGAGGGGGGAAACGTGAGAGAGAAGATGGAGAGGGAGAGAGATCGTGAGAGGGGAGATGGAGATGGAGAGAGAACGTGAGAAATAAAAAAATAAAAAGAAGAAAAATAAATCTGAATTAAAGAAACGTAAATATATAAGTTATATGATTTAGGGTATAAGGGCAAAATAGGAATAATAAAAAAATTAAGGATGTGGCTCATATATGATTTTAAACTAGGGATTTAATTAAGAGATTTGATTTGAACTTGTCATTTAGTTCAAATTAAGTTTCGTTTGAGGGGCTCCTGGCATATTACCCCTAAAAAATTACCTTCTGGGGCAAAATGCAACCAAATAATATTTTGAAGGGGGATTATCCAGTTTTTTAATTTTTAGGGGGAAAGTGCAAAAATAAAATATTTGTAGGAGGTGAAGTGCATTTTGTCCTATAAACTGTGTATTGTTGTTAAAACTTTATTGTTTATGATTCAAATCTTACCATTCAATTTAACTTATATGCTTATCTTTCAATTTTTTTAATTAATGTTTAGAAAACTCCAGCCGAATATCTTATTATCTTATGACTTAAAAAAAAGAATTAATTAGGAAGACCCCCTTCAAAATACATTTGTCAATTGTCAATAGTGCAGGCCCAAACATTTTTTTACCTTTTCTTGATACCCCTCGTATAGTATTTTAACTTAACATATATAACCCATAAATCTATAACAAACCCAATTGTACCCTCACTACATAAACTGCCAAACCCAATTAGGGCTTCACCTTCATCTCATTCTCTCAGTCTCGATCTCTCTCTATTTCTCTCCTCCTCTATCTTTTTCTCTCCTCCACCACCGCCCTCTTCGCCGCTCCTCCATAGCCGCCTCCTCCGACATCGACCCCCTTATCTCCGTTCCTCACACTGAGACTAGAGCGACGATTTGTGGAGGACCGACGTGTGATTTAATGGAGAATTTAAGTTCTGGAATTTGTTTGTTATAATTTCGGTCAAAGGTAAGTATATACTCCCACCATTGTTTGAGTTTGAAATTTTGTTGATTCATTGATTTGTTGGTATTCGAAAAATGCTGATTTTTTAAATTTTATTGTAATTTGTAATTTATTTTTCTTATGTTGTTGGTGTGTTCTCCTTGTAAATTATTTTTCTTCTTTTGTACAGAGATAATAATCATTCTCCTTTGTGTGTTCTTTTATATCATACGGAGATCCAAATCGTCAAAATTTTTGTGGATTAAAGCTGGATATTGAAGATATATGTGATTCAATCCCATATTGGGTTCAGTTTTTTCCGATATCTAGTCTATTGTTACTTTTCTTTTTGTTCAACTACGGTTGTTTTGTTGTACCTGATTTCGATAATTTGTAGTTGGTTTCGGAGATTTTGTAATTGCTTTTGGTAATTTTGCAGTTGATTTTGGTGATCTTGTAGTTGATTTTGAATTTTTTTTTTAGTAGTTTTCAATAATATTGTAGTTGATTTTGTTAATATCGTTGTTGGTCTCGATGATTTTTGTAGTTGTTTTCAGTAAATCGTAGTGGATTACCACAATTTGTACTTGAATACTTAATAAATATGTCAGAAAATATAAAAATAAAACCAAAAATAAATAATAAAACAAAATGTAGTTGATTATTGTAGTTTGTAGTTGTTTACGATGTGCTAAATTTACCTGAGAAAAAAAAGACGAATTTATTAAAAAACAAATTTATATATAGGTAGAAAATAGAACATATATATGTAGTGGGTGAGGGGTGGGGACTTGGAATTATATAAGGGTAAAATGGAGTAATGAGAAGTTAGGGTGATGTCTCGAATGCAAATAACAAAAGGGTAGTACTATTAAAAAAAGGGGGCAATTTGAGAAAAGTCGCTCATTCAATTTTAGTAGAGTAATATGGAGAATTTTATGCCTATTAAACTTTATATTAGCAAGTCTTACGATCGCATCGAATGGGTTTTCATGAAAAAAGTGCTCGCTTGCTTTGGATTTCCTGCTGACTTTGTTGATCTTATTATGCTATGCGTAACCTCTGTCTCCTACTATTTCTTGTTTAATAGTTCACAGTTTGGTAGCGTTACTCTGACACGTGGCCTTAGGCAAGGAGACCCGCTTTCTCCGTACTTGTTTATATTTTGTGCAGAGATCCTTATTGGAATGATTCAGAGTGCAGTGGCGGATGGTCAGTTGCATGGTTTTCAAATTGCCCCTAATGCCCTGATGGTTACTAATTTGTGTTTTGTGGATGGCACATTACTTTTTTGCCGGGCCAACGTGGATGATGCAACAAGATTGGGCAATATTTTGAGTAAATTTGCGCAGATCTCTGGCCAGGAAATCAATATGGAAAAGACCACCATGTGTTTTAGTCCTACAACTCCTACTCATACCCGTGAGGCAATCTACGAGACGTTGAGATTCCAGATTGTCGATCGCCACGACAAATACCTAGGCATGCCAGCATCGCTAGGCAAATACCGCAAAGATGTTTTTCGTTACTTGCGGGATCGGTTGTGGGGAAAAATTCGATGCTGGGGGTGACAGACACTTGTCTCAAGCGGGAAAATAGGTAATGGTGAAGGCAGTGTTACAGTGATTCCATCTTATCTAATGTCTTGCTTTGCACTTCCAGTTGGTATATTCTTAAAAATCTTGAAGCAACCATTCGGCGGTTCTGGTGGGGTGATGGGTCAGAGCAGAGATTGGCCTGGGTTTCTTGGGATCGTTTATGCCGACCCAAATCAGTAGGTGGAATGGGCTTCCGAAATCTTGAGATCTTCAGTTACTCCCTCCTTGCAAAGCAACTTTGGAGGGTGATTACAGAATCCGATCGTCTTCTATATATCCCAACTACTGAGGGTCAGGTACTTTCCACATGGTGATGTGTTTCATGCAGAACTTGGTGTCCGCCCCTCGGCGACTTGGAGGAGCCTTTACAAGGCTCGTCTGCTTCTCTAGTTGGGCGCTAGAGTCCGGATGGGCGACGGGTTATCAACGGCTATTTGGGGGGACCTATGGTTAAGAGATGATGGCAATTTTTGCATATGGACCAAGAGACCGATGTCGACTAGCTTCCCAAATCGAGTTGCGGATTTGATTGATACATCTCAGTCAACCTGGAATATGGAACTTATCGACAGCACTTTCATGACGATTGATAGGGTGCGGATTTACTCTACTCCAATAGGCGGTCGCACAGTTCCGGATATGTGGGTTTGGCACTACACAAAGAACGGTAAATTCTCTGTCAAATCTTGTTATCATATTGCTTTTAACTCTAGACTTTCGGAACACTCGACTAGCGGCTATGTTGGGTCTCACAGTGGTAGCACACAACATAAATTGAAGTTTATTTGGGAGCTGAACCTGCCTCCCAAGATTCGGCATTTAATTTGGCGAGCAAGCTCCGACATCATTCACTTAGTGTATGTGTACTGCATCTCATCAGTAAACGGTATTGTGATATCGGCATGCATAAGTGGGTGCTCGTAAGTTGACGAGTTCACTGAACTCCCTCACTCTAGAAATCTTTAAGTGGTTCCCAATAATCGAGTAGAGATATCTATGGTATAGTTGTACACCATTAGTCCTTATGACCTAGACATCACCGTGACTTCACTAGAGGACCAGCTGTATCGTGACCTGTCCCTGAGTTCCACCGAGGACCATCCCAAGGGCCAGTGTTCGTGCAGTCCGAAATCTAGTGGGAGGTATGTGCATTGTAGTTGGGGATTCGATCCCTATAATAGTCTTGGATGTCCTGTGTGTTCTGATAGTTTGTAATCATTTTAAGTCTCTGGCCAGAGCTGACTAAGTGATGATTAGAGAATTCGATTCTCTAAGTCATGTACGTAACGATTACAACACTTATAACGATCGCACGGTCATTGAACAAATAAAGAGGTCTCGGTTGTTGGAGTAGGTGACCAACAAGCCAACTTGTGGCTGTGGTCTTTCCTTTTATCTTGTAATAAAACAATCGTTTTTCGTTCGTAATAATAAAATATCTTATTTGGCATTCTATATCTGTTATCCCATGCAAGTAGCATAGATATAGTCCTAACGAGTTACTCTATTACTGTGAGTTGATCTAGTAGAATCGTGAGATAACTCAGCAATGTAATGTAACTGTTAAACCTTGTTCTTAGTCGATGGGTTACGCCAATAATGAGGATACCGGCCTTTCCCTTTTGAGACTAGCACTTAGTGTATGTGTACTGCGTCTCATCAATCCTCGGTGTTGTGACATCGGCATACTTGAGTGGGTGCTCATACTAGATGAGTTCACTGAACTCCCTCGCCCTAGAAATCTATAAGTGGTTCTCATTCATCAAGTAATAGATTTCTAAGATATAGTTGTACACCATTAGTCCTTAAGACCCAGACGTCACCGTGACTTCACTAGAGGACCGATTGTATCGTGACCTGTCCTGAGTCCCACCGCGGACCACTCCAAGGGCCAACGTTCGTGCAATCCGAAATCTAGTGTGAAGTCTGTGCATTGTAGTAGGGGATTCGAGCGCTTGAGTAGTCATGGATGTCCTGTGTGTTCTGACGATTTATAATCCAAGGAATCTCTGGCCAGAGTTGATAGTGGGGTGATTAGGGAAATGTGTTTCCCTTAGTCGCACACAAACGGTAGTACCTAGAACGTTCGCACGGTTATTGAACTTTATAAGAGGTCTCGGTGAACCAATGCCTCTAGTTCAATCGGGACATTTGCTACGAAAGGATCGTACTGTACGCTAACTATATCATAAGGTTCTTGCAGGCACTTCATTTGTATCTAGGGAATCATGATGCGTAGTTGCTAGACGCCAATCTTGATTCGTTGGGCACCGATTTGATCGGGGATTAGGTAAAATGAGTTTTACTCTAATCGGGACTCTTGGGAGGAGTTCGTATAAGAACAATGTGTTGCTCGAATCACAAAGAGTTGTGAGCCCACGGCTAGCATACACCTGAACCATTGAGGGTCACACTTCTCGTGTAATATAGATCCTTGATAACAACAAGCATAGATTAATTGGAAATGCGAAATTTAGTGAACTTTCTAAATTAGGAAGTTTCCCAATTTAGCAAGTCCACTGAAGTGGAAGTTTCCAATTTTGGAAATTGGAAATTTCGAAGAGGCACTCGTATCGACGAGGACTTTGAGCTCGTCACAGATATAATTTTGTTATAATTTTGTGAACGATCGTTTATTAGAAACGAGGCCGACGAGGGAATGGGCTTAATGCATCAGTGGGTCAAGCCCAATGACTTAAGCCCACTAGGGTTGAAAACCCTAAGTATAAATAGACCTCAAACAAGAGTTTGAGATCAGATTTTTCAGCACAAAAACCCTAGCCGCTCAGCCACCTTCGGCCGTTGCTGCCCCGCACGCGCCACCGCCGACCACCGCCGGAAACCGCCGGTTTTCTTCTCTCGTTTCCTTTGTTTTATTTTTGTTGTTATCTAACTCGTTTACATCTAGTGCTGTAGTTCGAGTGGGTCGAAAATACGAGGTGAAACCTAATTGGAGAGGAGCTGCTGCCCCGACGAATCCACGCACCGCCGCACGCGCCGATAGGCCGCTCACGCGCCGCCGCTGCTGCTGCCACGCGTCGCCGCTGCTGCTGCCGTTCACCGCCGTTCGTCGCTTGCTGGATCAGCTTGGTCCAGCCGTGAGTTGCAGCCCCGAGGATTGGTAATTTGCAGCTTGTACGTGATTGGTTCTAGGTTTCGATTCGTCGAAATCTCACGCTACAAGATGTAAATAAATCGAAACTTTCGTAAATTAATTCGAGCATGTTTGTATGAATTATAATTTATGATTGTGAGTAATATGTGATTACGTGTTTCGATTTTATTGAATGATGAACAAGCATGTTTCGTAATTTTCGGTTTTACGTCTTTTTCAATTAAATCGATAATTACCATATGTATGGCGGAAGCGTTAAGGTACGTTGACTATGTGATTAGTTTATGCATGTAATCGAAACTAGTTCGATATAAAAATTTTAAATTCCGCTGCGTATACATGCACGATCCCCAATAGTGGTATCAGAGCCACGGGTTAATCGTTTATTTGTCAACGTGTTTATCGCTTTCGAAAGCATGCTTCGATTTGTTGAATTGTTGAATTTTTGGTGTTATCAAATTGGGTGGTTTAATATTAATTAAATATTTTGAATATTTCAGAAAATATAAAAAAAATTTAAACTCGATTTTTCTGCTGTTTTTCAGCTGACCGAACCGGTCCGGTCGGACCGGTCTGACCGGTCCGGTCAGCACACAACAAAAAAAAAAGAAAAAAAAAAATTTATTTAATTTTCTGAGATTAATATTAAAATTAATTGATTTTTAATTTTTGAAATTATTTATCAATTAAACCCAATTAGATAATTGAACCATTAATTTAATTTGAATTCAAAGAATAGTGTTGGATTAATTATTTAATTTAATCGTTAAATTAGTTTAATTAATGGAACACAAATTAGATAGCAAATAATTAATGGACTTCATTCTTATTTGATTGATTTATGAATGAAGGGAGTCCGTTAATTATATTTGCAATTAATCGTATTAATTAAATAATTCATGAGATGAATAATTGTGATTCAGTACGATGATGATCGTATGTCTCTCTTAGGATCAATATGCGTTTCCACATACTTAGAGAACATAGTTGTAGGAATCACAAACGATCATAACCTAAAACTTCCGATGAGCTAATAAGATTTAATAAATAAAATCCCTCATTCTTAATTAAGAATAATTATCAAGCTATAAAGAAAAACCAAATTGTTGAATTTTTCTTTCCTTCTACCAACAATTAAATTATGTGTAGCCTCTCATAACAGTGCAGTAAGCCGTGTTAGCGGGGAGTGCTATTGTGGGATAAGCTGTAATTTAATTGACATTAGATGGAGATACGGTCATAGATAAAATTATGTTGGATTAATGTGGTCGGCTAGATTAACTAGGGATTGCATCAGTTTGATATAGTTGGATCTATGACATCTCATATTGGTAGGCTAGACTTGACACACGAAGATTTTGATATTCGCTAGATTAACTTAGGTCATTATCAAGTGTGAGGTAAATCGATCTTTAGGGTCACATAGTGATGTGATTGATAGTACTCTACCTTTAGGCTTATGTAATCGGGATAGATTAACTACGGGTTACATTAGCGCTATTGGACCTAAAGCCCATTAAAGAAAAATAAGTTTTCTTGATTGTCTGCTAGAGGGTGGTGGAATTCGATAAAATTAGTGGGAGAACAATTAAAACATAAAAGTCCAAAATTTTAATTGTAACGATTATTACGAACTAAACTCTAATTATTGTCTTCTTAAAATTTTCTCAGCAACAATGTCCAAACATCCCCTTTCCTCAATCCTCGACCAAAACAAACTCACCGGTCCAAACTATTTGGATTGGCTTCGCAATCTAAAACTTGTGCTCCAAGTCGAGGAGCGTCTCTATGTGATCAATGAACGTCCCCCCGCTGCTCTTCCTGCGACCGCTACTGCTGACGAGACTGCCACTTTCGAGGCTTGGAAGAAGGACGACCTCCATGCGAGGTGCTACATGCTAGCATCCATGGTGCCAGAGCTCGCGAGGAAGTATGAGTCTCACGTGCATGCTTATGATATCAAGCATCATCTTGAAAGCATGTACAGTGAGAATACTAGGGCATCGAGGTACTCAGCTACCAAGGAGTTGATCACCATGAGGCTGCGTGAAGGGGCTTCGGTCCACGAACACGGTCTCAAGATGATCACTCTCCTTGAGAAGTTGGTGAACCTTGATGTCACCCTCCCGACCGAGCTCTCGGTGGATTTGATCCTACTGTCCCTTCCTAGTTCTTATGAATCGTTCATAGTGAACTTCAACATGAACAAGCTCGATCCACCATTGGATGAGTTGTTGAACATGTTGGTCAGCTATGAGTCCACGATCAAGAAGGAGAAATCAGTTCTCCTAGTTGCTCCTTCTGCAAAGAAATGTTCTTTCCAGAAGAAAAGGAAAGAAAGGAGTTTCGGCCCGAGCAAGAAACTTGAGAAGGGCGAGTCGAGCGGAGTGAAGAATGACAAGGTCACCAAGCAAGTTGATGACGCTTGCCATCATTGTGGAAAGAAGGGCCATTGGCGACGCAACTGCAAGGCTTACCTCGATCAGAAACGTTCTGAAAAGGGTACGTATTTAGTTGAAGTTAACT